TGTGGTCAGCCCCTTGCTCTGTGGCGTCGGCTTCAGGCTCTTGCCCGCCTTGATCTCAGCCAGTAGCTCCGAGTTGTCGCCCGTTGGGGACATCATGTTGAAGGACTTGGTGCCTACCGGAGGCAGGAAAGGAGGCGCTAGCTGGAAACCGGGGGGCGTTCCAGCTGCCCCCACCTATCCCTTGGCCGCCTGTCCCTCCCTAAGCCAGGATGGGAGGGCCCTCGGCCCAGAGGGCAGCTCTCCAGATCCCATTCAGGGCCACCAGAGGCTGGGAGGGCCCCAGGACCACGGCTGCCCCACCACCCTCTTGGCTCTACTCACAAAGTGTAGGGCCCCTGCCTGGAGGCCCCTGGGAGTTCATGGTAGCTCCCGGGCCCGCCCTGGGAACGCTAGTGTATGTCTCCGCCCAGCCACTGACTGCCCAGCTCCAAGACACTACCTAGGGCCAGCCACCCGACCTTTGCCCCAGGTTCCCTGGCTCAGCCCAGCCGGGGTGGAGTCTCCCTCTGGCCCTCTCCCTGCATCAGCAAAGCTCAGTGACCCTTGGACTGAGTCAACTGGGGCATCCATGGCCACAGAGAGTCGGGACCCTGGCGTACCAGCACCCAGCTGGACCCCTGCCTCCTCCCCACACCCGCAGACAGACGTGCACATAGACACTGGTTGCAAGGCGGGAGCACATTTACGGCAAAGCATGGCTCAGGTCTGGGGGGCCCAGGAGAGCAGAGCCCTTACTAAGGCTGCGGGAGAGGGACCCAGGAAGAAGGGCAGGTGGATGTCATGCAAATGCCCAGGACAGCGTTTGCATGTTCCTACTCAGCTGGCGGAGGTGAAGGGACAGGGGGAAGGATGTCTTTTGAGCCCCGAGGGAGGGGCCAGGTCTGTGTGGGAGGAACAAATGGGCCAATAGCACTTGGATTCCCAGGCTGGGCCACAGGGAGGGTGCGGCAGGCTCATTTATTTAGGCAAAACCATCAGCCAGGCGCAGAATGCTTGGGTGCATATATGGGTGTGTTGTGGCATGAGGGCAGGTGTGGGGTGCTCCTGGGGCATGGAGGCCCCCTCACCTGCCAGCCTGACCCTGCCCTTCCTCAAGTCCCAGCCCCCTCTGCCTCACTTTCCTGCCTTCTCCCCCACCCCGCGCCGCAGCCTTAGCCAGGAGCCGCACACAGCTACTCACTCTTCCTGTGTCTCAGGACTCTCACTTCTAGGAACCAAGAGGAGAGAAGTGACAGTGCAGTTAGGAGGGAGAGGGAGCCAGGATGAGACTGGGACAGTGGGGGATAGGGAGAGAGGCCAGGGAGGGCGGGAGGGGGGAAGAAGAGAAGAGAGGAGGAGCTTTCCTGCCCATCTGACCCTGGCTCAGGCACTCTGGGGCCCCACAAGGGTGGTCCCTCGGTTCCCAGCCTGGCTGGTGCCTCTGAGGGCTGGGTAGGGCTGCCCTGGTTTTGAGGCCCTTAGCAAGGGCCTCTGTCTCGGCTTAGGGTTGGGATAGGGCACCCAGCCCGGGCTCTGCTGGGAGAGGGTGTCTGGGAAGGCCAGAGTGCAATTTTCTTCCATTTCTAGTTTCACCCTCATCCCTGCTCCAGGCTGCAAAGGGAAGGAGAAGCTGGGTCAGGGGTTTTCTGGAGCCTTGGCCAGTATGGACAAGCTACAATGGCTCTGGGTCCCAATGGAAACTCCAGAGAGCCCAGCTCTGCACTCCCAGTCAGGGAGATGAAGCTTTGAGTGATGACAGTAAGCACTGAGTGGGGGTGAGATGGAAGCACCAGCAGCCAGGAACCACTTCCTGGGCCTTCCAGGAGGCCTGGCAGGCAGGACACTGTCCTATCCTACAGAAGAGAAGTCCAGGCACATCCTGATCACCAGTCTACCCCCCCCCCCTTTTTGAGTCAGAGTCTC